TTTTTTTTTTTTTTTTTTTTTATCCTGAAAAGAAGGCGATTGTAATTGACGAAATAAGAATGTTGGTCGATTGTAACTAAATTGTGGATTTTTGTGCATTTAATATACTAAAGTATACTAAATATCATACAACAAGGTGGAGTGATATTTACTACAATATTTGCTACAAAATATCTTTTCTTTTTATAAATTATGTATAAGAATCCGCAGTCTAACGAACCACAAATATTATCCAAATATTGTATTAACTCTTTGAGTGTTCACTACCAAATGTCAAGACGAGGATATAACAAATTAAGAATTTATTTATTTAACATATTGTTGAATATAAATTTTGATCCTCCAATAATAAGTTTATAAATAATTATTGTATGATACTCCAGTGCGAATTAAACACTCAAAGGATTAATAGTTTCAAATAGTAGAACTTGAAAGTTGAATTTCGTTTATTTGAACCAAGTCAACTGCCGATTAAAGCTGAACTCTTGTAATGTATGATGACACGGAAGATCACCGATGTAAAAAAGTAATCGGTAATGTCCAATATTATACAATTTATCCTTCGACAAGCTCATATAAACGGAGTTTTAACTGTGATCTTTGTTCGACCAATATTTACTAACTACACTCGCCCTCTCGGAACGACTTAACACAGTGTTCCCGTGTTCGAACCGATTCGACAACACGCGTGTCAATCATCCATAAAACATTGGATCGTCCGGCGTGGAAAAACTTTGAATCGTCGCGCGATGTCGAACATTTGTGAGCTCGGGCCGGCACGCTCGTAAAACCGTAGACAGAAAACGATGGGGGGAAACGTATACGAACGGGGGAGAAAATGCATAGGCATTTCTATTCAGCTGGTCGCGAAACGGCCGGACTAACGTGCGTTTTCCAGGAGGGACTGGACATCACGGTGAACGCGGACAGGACGCTGTACAATTTCTGCAAATGGCAACAGAAACTGAATCCCGCGGACGACTCGCATCCGAATCATCACGACGTGGCGATTCTGGTGACGAGGGAGGACATCTGCTCGAGGGCGAACACGCCGTGTAGCACTTTGGGAGTGGCCCACGTAGCCGGCATGTGCCAGCCGGACCGCAGCTGCAGTGTCAACGAGGACAATGGGATCACGCTCGCGCACACCATCACCCACGAATTGGGACACAAGTGAGTGGAAACGTTCGATCGATTTTTAACTCTTTCGTTACTGAATTCATTACTGCGCCGGGAGTATCTGAATTTTTTTCCTTTTCTTTTCTTTTTCTTTTCTTTTTTTTGAATTTCTTTCTTCTCCTTTTAGAATCTTTCTTTATGATTACTTTGTAGGATACGGAATCATGATCCGTTGCTGGCAAACATGCTTTGTTGCAATTGTTAAATTTGTTTGTTCGATTGTTGAAATTTCAAAAAAACGAGGGGAAAAGAAATAGAATAAAACGACGATTCAATTTTTAATTATAAAGTTCTTGAATGATATGTAGTTATAAATATATTCAGTCTTCATTGCATATAACGTTATTTTATCTTGGCAGGAACCGTGAATTTCTGATACTTATAATTTACCTATAATTTACCCTTTAGTCCGGTTATTCTTTACGTAGTCTTATAATAAAGTAGTTTATAAATAATCAAGTGAAGTAAAATAAAATAAAAGGAAGAAATAGACAACGATTTCGTTGGCCGAATGTCGTCGGCAAACTTGTCCCTAAATTTCCTTTGAAAGAAAAAGTAACGACTCGCAGAAGTGAATTATCTTCGTGAGACTCGAGTATTATCCCTCTTATAATCCAGAGAAATTTATCGCTCCTTTTTTATTAGGTCCTTAGAAGCACACTTAGGCTGGCCAAGCTTCTTTGCCTCGCAGCAATTACCCCAAACATATTTTATATTCTCGAGGTGACCAAGTATCCTCGATTTGGCTAACTTTCTACCAGTAGAGTAAATTTTAATATTATATTTGAATTGATATCGTGAATGGTTTTCTTGTCTTTTTCGTCCCATGATACTAACTTTAAACGCGAAAAAGTGGAATCGTAACGAAGTTTAATTTTAATCTGAATTTCTCTGAAACCGCGGAAATTTGAAAATATCTCGAAAACTACTCAGCTGGTTACCGTCTGTAACTTTAAAAATATTCAAAGTACACTTCTACCATTTTTGCCACTTCAGATTAAATTTTCATACCGTATGATTAAACTTCGTTTCTAATAGAAAATTTGCCATTAAATGTCTTCTATCAAAACGTCAACCTATTTCTGATTGCATAGTTCTCAAAAAAAAAAAAAAAATAAAATTGCTCCACTTGTATAAAACTGTGATGAAACTCGAGTATGTGGCATCTTAAGCATATAACAAAATTTAAGCAAGACTTCCACTAAATATCGAGACTCATCGATATAATAAATAGCTTGTGACTATTCAAATACTTCCATGGCCTCTAGAAATTTATACATTATACATTTTCAGAGTGATTAAAAATTATATCAACATAATCCTGGTAGTTGGATATTGCGTGCGATATTACTAATAAAATTTCCAAATATTTTGTACAACATGTGTTCGCAAAATACGAATACTTTAAATAGTATTGTTCGATACACAAGTCGATTTTATGTATAAAAAAAAAAAAAACATTAAAAATCGTAATGAACAAAAGATAATTGATCGTACAAATGCGTAGCTCGTTCAATCGAAAATTCTAGCGATTAATCGCTAATTCGCGATTTGCTTTCATCGATATAATAACCGATAACGATAATCTGGTTATCGCGTTTGCCGCGTATTTAGCTGAAACCGTATCGCGGACAAACACGTGTGAACTCGGGCTTTGTTACGGAATCTCTCCGCGTGTTTCGATTTCGAGGTGATTCACGACCGTGACACGATTTCGACTCCAGCTTTGGCATGTACCACGATACGGAAAAAATCGGGTGCAGCAAACGGGACGGCGACACCCTGCACGTGATGACGCCGACTTTCGAGGTGGACACCATTGGCGTCGCCTGGTCCAGATGCTCCAGAAGAGACATCACCAACTTCTTGGAGTAAGAAATCTTTCGAATCTCTTTCCAAGACGTTTTGTTACATTGTTTCAGTCGTTTCGTGCGAAACATTCGAAGATGGAAATTGAATTATTAGGTTCTTGCCGCTGAAATCACGAAGTTCTCGACTCTGCTGTTCTCCTTGGATCTATGTGATAAATGGATATTATTTTGTTAAAATACATGTAGTTTTTAAATATTTTTAAATGAATTCACGACTTTTTGTACATTAGAAGTAAACTATCTAAGAAGACGCAAGACCTGAGCAGGGTTTGATATAAGTTTCAACGTTTACAGCTTTCTTGAAGATAATATTAATCATTTTGTCCATTTCAAAAAAAATTTATAATTCAAATCAAATTTCACAACTAAATTCTTTAATCGATTTGTTGTTGATAATTTCCTGATCAATTATTCGTATTTGTACTCTCCAGTCTAAATTTTTTCACATGAATGATAGATTCTCTTCGTGTTGTTATTAAGCTATAAGCTGCAAATCTATGTCTATTATTTAACAATTGTTTTGTCATGAGATTTTGAATTTTACGCATTTATAAAACCCGTAATGCATCGTATACATTGTCAACCGTGAGTGAAAAGCTCCAAGGGAAACAATTCTTTTTCCGTAGTCAAGGAAAAGGCGAGTGTCTGGAAGATGAACCGGCAGACAATGATTACTCGTATCCAGACTTACCACCTGGTGCAATGTACAACGCGGAACACCAATGCAGACTTCAATTCGGTGTTAGAGAAGCTTCCGTTTGCTCCCCGTTGCAGGAGGTGATGAACAAAAGTAAATCGAACTTTTGGGGGCAACTTTAGGAGCGGTGAATAGAGATCGGTGATTTTGTTGTTCGCAGATCTGCTCGAAATTATGGTGCATCGTTGATGGCACTTGCACAACCATGCTTCATCCGGCTGCCCCGGGGACACACTGTGGCAAACATATGGTACGAACAGTAGATATATAGTAGTGATACAATTATGGTTCCCAACGAACGTTTTGATTACACCGATATTACGGTCTAATTACCTACGAATGTATGAAAA